CTAAAGTGGGATGAGGTTTGCTCTCTATTTATCTGCTGTGGCCTGCTTTGCCAGTGCTGGTGGGGGGTGTGGGTTTTGTTTTGTCTTCTGGTAGTTGATTGATTAGCATATGTTGACTGCTTGATGGTGTGCCTGGTGGTGACCTTTGCTTATCTGGGTGATGATTGCTGGAGCTGAGTGCTGGTGATTGAATGCTGGTGAGGCGATCTTCTGATCTTTTGTCTCTTTTGAATAGTATGTAGATGCTGTTTATCTCTATGCCACAGCAGATAAACAGAGAGCAAACCTCATCCTACTTTAGCACTGAAGATGTTACCTAGCCGGGTAATGAAACATTTGCAAGAAAAGAACCAAGCTCAGAGAACCCCAAGGACTCCAAAGTACACTTAAGTTATCCTCATCCCACTTTAGCACTGAAGATGTTACCTAGCCGGGTAATGAAACATTTGCAAGAAAAGAACCAAGCTCAGAGAACCCCAAGGACTCCAAAGTACACTTAAGTTATCTGGGCAAAGTTCAGTTATTCCTGAGAAAGTGGACAGGGTCTTTGGTATGTTGAGTCCTGCCACCTGTGTGTTAGATATGTGTCCCTGGTTAGTTTTGGCTTCCCAGAAAGTGAAATATGGCACAGTTCAAGCGGGGGCAAATGCATCTTTGTTGAAAGGGGGTGGTTTCACCTGCCTTGGGTAGTGAACAAAGTAAACTCCCTCCTGAAAAGGTCATAATTGGGCTTGGCTGTACTGGACAATTTTTATCCAGTTTCCAATTTTCCCTTTTTGGGGCAGGTTGCTGAAAAGGTGGTAGGTCTGCAGCTCCAAAGGAGAAAGCAGATTATCTGGCTCCTTGGCAGTCAGGTTTCAGGCCATGATACAGCACTGAGACAGTACTGATTGTGCTTGTAGATGACCTCTGGCAGGCCTGGGATGGGGGTAGTGTATCCATCCTGTTATCCTTCTGGGCCAGTTGAGGGGCTTGGGAGAAAGAGATGCTGTTTCTCAGTGGTTCTCTTTCCTCCAAGGCTGTTTCCAGGTGGTACTTGGGAGAGGGGAGAGATCTAGCCCTAAGCCCCTACTTTGTGGGGTGCTGCAGGACTCAACTCTCTCCCTGCTCCTTTTTAACATCTACATGAAACTGCAGGGCAAGGTCATCTATCAGCACAGGATTCTGTATTGTCACACTGATGATACTCAGTTGTACATCACTACTCTGGACTGCCCAAGACTGGAGTGTCTGGAGACCATGTTGCTCTGAATAGGGAAAAACCATCTTCAGCTCAAACCTGACAATCCTGAGTGGCTGTGGGTTTTATTCCCACCCCCTCCCGCTGATCTACTGGTTTTCCCTTATTAACTGTGAATGGAGTTGCATTGTTCCAAGCTTGTACACAAATACATTTTATGTGCCAGTTGTGCCCATCCCTAGATCAAGAGGAATTGCTCATGGTCACTCATGCCTTAGTCATCTCTCGACTGAACTACTGCAATATGGTCTACATGGGGCTACCCTTGAAGAACATTCAGAAGCTTCAGCTGATCCATAATGGAGAAGCACATGCAGTTTGGGGTGTATCGCAGTACTCCTACATAACACCACTGCTATGTAAGCTCCACTGGCTCCCAATGTTTTCAAGATGCTGGTTGTTACCCTTAAAGCTCTACATGGCATGGAGCCAGGTTACTTGTGGGACTGTTCTTTCCTGGTGGTTTCTGCCTGTCTCACAGATTTGGCAGAATGGGCATGCTTTGGGCATCCTTAGTGAAACAGTGTCACCTGTTAGATCCCAGTAAGCACATCTTCTTTGTCATGGCATCTTTTGGTTTTAATGGAATGTTTTCTTTTTTACACAGAGCTTCTATGTATAGATGGGTGACCATATATATTGGATAAATAAATAAATATTTAGCAATTATTGCCAAAGAAAGATGCTATAAGGAAAAAAAGAACAATATTCAGCTCCATCTCCAACATATACATCTTCTATATGACATATCAATAATTTGTGTCAAATTGCTGAAATTTGCAGTCAGTGTTGTTCAAAAGTAATTTGCATGAAACAAAAAATCCATACTACTCTAGATGAACACAAGGGGAAATTAATGACAGTTTTTAGAGGTTATAAAGAAAGATCAATCAATATCTATCTGTGCTTCCAATCTGCAATAAGTTTGAACTTGAGAACTACATGGTAAACTGCATGTTTAAAGAAGTAACACTTAAAGATGTTCTGAAGGTGATCGCTGCAAAATAGTTTTTATAGAATTACATATAATTAAAAAGGTATCAAAGTATATGTTTGAAAAATCTGTATTCTTCTTTTTAGTCTCTTAAAAGGAGAAGCATAAACTAACAATGCAAAACCTAAACAATCTGAAAAATTCAGAACCAGTCTTTCAGTAAGGTTTTTGGATGATGACATACATAGGAAGGGAGAAAACCATACAAAATTGACAACACAAACAATACCAGAATTCAATAATCATTAAAATCCTCAGAGGATACAGAACAGATTTAAATATGTAAGTAGGCTTATACAAGAAAAGGCACATAGGATCCAACTCATATATGATTTCATATGATAGAACCATTTTGAAAATAGAGAAGCAATACATACAGTGGGGCAAAAAAGTATTTAGTCAGCCACCAATTGTGCAAGTTCTCCCACTTAAAAAG